ATGCTGCCTATAAGAAACTCACCTCATCTATAAGGATACACATAGATTGAAAGTAAAGGAATAGAAAAAGATAACCCATGGAAATGAAAACCAAAAAAGAACAGAAGTAGCCACACTTATATCAGATAAAATAGACATTAAATCAAAAACTAAAAAGAGACAAAGAAGGAAATTAAATAATAATGAGTCAATTCAGCAAGAAAATATAATAATAGTAAATATATATGCACCCAACACCAGAGAACCAAATATACAAAGCAAATATTAAAAGATCTAAAGGGAGACAGACTGGAGTGCAATGGCACAATCACAGCTCACTGCAGCCTCAAACTCCTGAGCTACATCAATCTTCCCAGATCAGCATCCAAGCACCTGGTACTGCAGGCATGCACCACCATACTTGGCTAAGTTTTTGCAGTTTTTTAGAGATGAGGTTTTGCCATATTGCCCAGGCTGGTCTTGAACTCCTGGGCTCAAGTGATCCACCCACCTCAGCCTCCCAAAGCGCTGGGATTAACACATGTGAACCACTATGCCTGGCCCCAGAAGATAATTTGAAACTCAATTTTTTCTAAATCAGGTAGCTAAGAGCTAAGGTGGACATTTCTTGGTGCCATTTTTCAGTTTAGCATTGATACACTATAGAAAGCATGATCCTTGGTAAAATTTAACATTATAGTATAGGAAGTCAACAGATCTCATACCAGTCCCCCTTTTGTTCACCCATAAGATATTTTAGTAGTTCTAACCTCTGAATCAGAAAAATGTCACTTTAGTCAGTTTCACAGGGCAGTCAAGAGAACAATATAATAATGCATGTTCTTATTGGTATAGTATACACAAGCTAGCTAACTCAGAAGCTCTATTTTAGGCTGAGATATTTTGGGGAGATGAGTAAGCTTATGATTGATTTATAAGTGCTTGTGCGTCTCATCTTGGACCTGTGAGATTCAGTCTTCACATCTGTTTTCACATCGTGTCTCCACCATGCCCAATCTCAATTTCTTGTTTGTGTATGGTGCGATATGCTCTGTTTTGGTTATTTAACTCCTTAATCCAGTTGTATGTGTCCTTCCATATGTCACAAAATAACAGAGTCATTTAGCTTTCTTTTTCAGTGATGTCTGAATCATACTGGCACTGGTATTATAATTGTTCTCATTTTCATTATCTAATCTTAGAAAACATGTTGACAACATTCATAATGTTAAAAATTAAACACCATCTGGTACATAGCACAACATGTAGGCAAAGTCAAAGACTTACTGCTCACAATTGCAATATACTTATATTGCACACTTAAATCACATCACTTGGTGTGATATAGCAATGTATGATCCATTACTGTGAATCCTTGGTTGTTAGTATCAGCAATCATAAGAAAAAAAAAAAAAAAAAAACCCAGCAACAGCCACTAGGAACAGCAGATAAACTACACCATATCTTTTTCTAAAAATTGAAAGCTGTTGCTTCCAGCCCTTACTTTTTTAGGCCACCTTACGGATCTTGTACTTTCCTCTGAACTTTGCACATCCATACTGAAAGGCAAGATGTTTTCTTCCCTGGGATGGCAAGCTTTCAGTACAAAAATCAGGACAGTATCAGGCAAACAATGATGGTTGGTCACCCCAAATTCATACTGTCTTTTTTACACCCTTCTCCAAACTTCTCAACTGAATCCAACCTCTTTTGATCTAACTTCTTCCTTTAGACCACAGTCTCAATCCCCTTGACCTCAGTAATTTGCCCTCTTGATGACCCTAACCTCAATCTCTCAACCCATTCAACTACTATCAGCCTCAACCAATCTTATCCTTTCAATCCTCAAGGACAAAACTTAACCTCTTAACTTCTCTCAACATTACTTCATCCTCTCTACCTAACTGGAACTCAACCTCACCTGACTCTCTCTACGTAACTGGAACCCAACCTCACCTGACTCTTGATAACCTAAGTTTGACTTTTCAACATCAACCAACCTCAACCTCTAAATCTCATAGACCTTGTCTTCTGATCCTTCTCACCTCAACCATGTCCTCTCATCTTCCTCCAACAGACCTTAACCATCCTCATTCTTTTAACCTCATTCCCTTGACTTCAACTGACCTTGTCCTCTCAACTTCAATCAGCCTCATTCTCTTGACCTTACCTAACCTTGTTCCATTTACTGTGACTCCATTTCCTAAACCTCACCTGGTACCTTAACCTCCCCTGTTCTCCTTAATTGGGTGATATGGTTTGGCTGTGTCCCCACTCAAATCTCATCTTGAATTGTAGTTCCAATAATCCCCATGTGTCATGGGAAGGACCCAGTGGGAAGTAATTGAATCATGGGGGCAATTTCTCCCAATAAGTTTCCCCCAACTTATAATCTTGTGATAATAAGTTCTCATGAGATCTAATTGTTTTACAAAGGACTTTCCCCTTCATTAGGCTCTCATTTCTCTCTCCTGACACCATGTGAAGGTCATGCTGGCTTCCCCTTCTGCCATGATTGTAAATTTCCTGAGGCCTCCCCAGCCCTGTGAAACTGTGAGTCAATTAAATCTCTTTTCTTTATAAATTACCCAGTCTTGAGTAGGTCTTTATTAGCACATGAAAACAAACTAATACATTGGTTTATTAGTACCACCATTTACCCAGTCCTCAAAACCACAACTTTGAGTCACCCTAGATTTAATCATATTTTTATATTACATATACTAGTCATCAAATACTATCAGTTTGCCACTAAAATTATTGCTGAAACTCATTCATTTCTCTTTATCATCATGGCAAATATTTTACTTCCAGTTCCATCATTGTTCATCTATGCTACTGTCCGAGAATCCTAACAGGTCTCTTTACTTCCAACCTAAGCAACATTTTCTCTTCTACCTTCCTCCCCCAATACCCATCCACCTGTACTCCACTGCCAAAGAGCTATTTCTAAAATGAAACACTAACCATATGCCCAATACTCCCTCTACCTTATAGAACATAAGTCATTTCTATCATTTAGCTAATTCCTACTCATTCTTAAAGCCTAATTTGAAGGCTAATGCCTTTGGAAAACCTTCTCTGAATCTCCTTTTCCCACTTAAAACTATATACCCCTCTTGAAGTTCTAGTAATGGCATTTTACTGGCATTGTTATATTACATGTCTGGGTACATTTTTTTTATTAACTGTCTTCCAGCCTCAGTTATAAACTTTATAAGTACTAGTTTCTGAATACTTTACTTGTAGCATCTACAAAATATTAATAGATGACCACTATTCAGTTATTTTTCAAATATATATTTTCTCCCTTTGAAGTATCATGCTACCATAATTTTCATCTTAAAGGGAAAGACAAAAACATTCCTTGATAAAGTAATTGGGATGCTAACTGAAATCTTTTAACACAGTTACATTGAAAGTTGTTAACTGAAAATTAACTAAAATTGTTCATTAACTAAAAATTGTTATATTCCTTCATAGAAACTACACATTCTTTTAAAATTTAATATTTACCCTAATACCTACTGTCTTTAAAACTGGCTGATGTTGGTTTCTCTAAAACCATAAACTTAAGTGAGAAAACTGAATAGGACTTTATACTCTACTTATTCTATCAATATTACTGAGGCCTGCTAATAAAATACATAGATTACTCGGAAAAAAAAAAAAAAAAACCTACAAATATCAGATCTGTGCCACAAACAAAAGCTATATGCTTCTGAATAAAAAAAAAAAAAAAACAGAGTTCTCATATAACACCTGTCCTGATTTCACAATAACCCTGTAATCACAGAGAGTGAGAATCCTAGCTTTACCCCTAAGTAGCCATGTGACCTTAGCCAACTTAGTTAGGCTTTCTTTTTTTTCTTCAGTTTTTTTCATGTAAAAACCCACTATAGTTAATGTATAGATCCCCTCAGTTTCGTCACCTGTAAAATGAAGACAATAGTCTATAGACAGTCCCCAACTTGCAATGATTCAACCTATGGTTCTTTCACTTTACAATGCATTTAATCAGGATATTAAATGCATTTTTTACTTATGATATTTTCAGTTTACAATGAGTTTAGCAGGATATAACCCCATTATAAGTCAAGGATCATCTGTGTGTGTGTATGTGTTTGTGTGTATGTATATATGTGTGTGTGTATAAACTAATATAGTCCTACTATGAAGTAGACACTATAAAAATAAGTGTCTTTGTAGTGAAAAATAGTTTTCCTTTCTTTTACTAAGTTATTAAAGATATATATCAATATTCTTTATACAATGACTGATATGAATATGAAATATCATTAGACAAATAAAGTAAAATTATTGACCTATGCTTTTTAATCCTTTCTAAATCCTAAAAACAGCTACACTAAATCATACGTTGTAGGAGAATGGTAACAATATTGTGAATTTTCTAATGAAGAAGGAAGACTACTAGGCTGGGTGCGGTGGCTCATGCCTGTAATCCCAGCACTTTGGGAGGCCAAGGTAGGTGGATTATTTGAGGTCAGAAGTTCAAGACTACCCTGGCCAACATGGCAGAACCCCATCTGTACTAAAAATACAAAAATTAACTGGGCGGTGGTGGTGAGCACCTGTAATCCCAGCTACTTAGGGGGCTGAGACAAGAGAACTGCTTGAGCCTGAGAGGCGGAGGCTGCAATGAACAGGATCAGCCACTGCACTCCAGTCTGGGTGACAGGGTGAGGCCCAGTGGCAAGAAAAAAAAAAGAAAGATTACTAAATTAGTTATATTTCATGATTCACTTCCATGTGATCACTCATGTTAAAGAATAATAAAAAGAATAAAAAAAAAAAAAAAAAAATAGCCCAGCATGGTGGCAGGTGCCTGTAATCCCAGCCATTCGGGAGGAAAAAAAAAAAAAAAAAAAAAAAAAACAAAGATATCTTAGCATTGAAAAGCGAGACAAACTTAGACTGCTTAGTCTGCTGAGTATATGATTCTCCTAAATCAGAACACACATATAGACAGACACATATTGAACTCGAATTATATTTCTTACTTTACTCTTCACAGCATCATATCGGATTTGAGAAAACTCACGAAGACCAAAAGAACCTCCAATAATCAGCAACTAAAACAAAGAAAGGAAATATTTAAGCAAAACAGAAGACCAGAATTCAGCCTATCTATAGATTGCTTACCTAAACAACAATAGAGGCATATTATACAAAAATTCTATAGATTATTTTTCCTGGTGAGTCACCATCTTTTAGAGTAAATACAGTATATACTATCTAGAAAACATTACAGCATATCCTTACCAAATACCAAAATCACCACCCTATATCTGTATTTGACCTTATGATTTAAATGACATCATAACAAGCATTATATTAGACTCTTACAACAGACCTATTTTTGTTTTTTGTTAAGAAAAAAACAAAAACAAAAAAAACAACCATTTAACAAATGAGGAAATAAAAGCACAGCCAACTAAATGACTTGCCCATTGTTACATTTTGCCCAAGCCCGTCTTTGTACTTTGAGAGCTATTCGATCTTCCTTAGTAAGTGAAGAAATTGAAACCTGATCAACTGCTCAGACCATATCCAAATAAGGCAGATGCCTAGCTATAACCAGTCAAGCTATTTCTGTACTTTACTTTCCTGTTTTATCTATATTCTGTATTCATTGCCCATATTGCAGACTGGAGCTCTCTCAACTTCTCAGTCTGAGTGCTGCCTGATTCATAAATTTTCCTTGTTCAAATAAACTCCATAAAATTATTCTGTTTTTTTGTCTAAGGTTTCTCTTTCTTTTAATACCATGATTACACAGCGTAAACCAGCAGTAAAACTCTGGCCTTTTTTTCCGTCAAGACCAGAATTCTTTTGATATTACGATTTTTCAAAATAAGCCAGTTGGAATCCTCATATCTTACCAAGTGATAAAGAAATCTCATGAAAGATTGCTGCAGAATATTCTCTATATCACATTGCATTCCCAGGGACAATATAGCTATAGGGATCACAGGTAAAGAAAGTTTTAAAATTCTTACTACGTACTGAAATGCTGAAACATCACCTTAAGATATACAGAATCACTTTCATTTTTTTGCTGGCAACTCTTCGAGGCACAATATTTTCAAATGATTTAAACTTCCCAATAGAGAATTATAACCACCCAATGAGTTCACCTTGCCTGCTGCCTAGACAGCTGATTTATCAAGACGGGAATTACAACGGGGAATTGCAGAGCTGGTTGTATGGGAGATCAGAGTTTTTTATTATTACTCAAATCAGTCTCACCAAGCATTCAGGGATCAGAGTTTTTAAAGATAATTTGGTGGCCAGGGGCTTGGGAAGTGGGGAGTGCTGATTGGTCAGGTTGGAGAATCATAGGGGGCGAAGTGAGTTTTTCTTGCTGGTTTCTGTTTCCCAGTGGGATGGCATAACTGGTTGAGCCTGATTACCCATCTGGGTGATATCAGCTGATCGATCCATCCAGTGCAGCAGGGTCTGCAAAATATCTCAAGAACTGATGTTAGGTTTTACAATAGTGATGTTATTCCCCAGGAGCAATCTGGGGAGGTTCAGACACTTAGCGCCAGGGGCAGCAAGACCCCTGAACTATCATTTCTAACCTTGTAGCTAATTTGTTAGTCCTGCAAAGGCAGACTTATCCTCAGGTAAGAAGGGGGTCATTTGGGGAAAGGGCTATTATCAATTTTGGTTCAGAGTCAAACCATGAACTGAATTCCTTCCCAAAGTTAGTTTGGCCCATGCTCAGGAATGAACAAGGACAGCTTTAAGGTTAGAAGCAAGATGGAGTCAGTTAGGTCTGATTTCTTTCACAGCCATAATTTTACAAAGGCGGTTTCAGTATTGCTACAAAAGTTCATGACCACAAGGAGAAACTCACTCATCTTTACTTATTGTGTGTTGGTCTTATAAAAACAAGCTTAGAACAGATTTCGGATTTCAGAAGACACTTGCAGATTTCCCTGACCTCTCAAAGCAGGGATGAATTGTCAGCTGGGTAACCTCTCATGTAATACTGAAGCAATACAGCAGTTGCAGCAAAGTAAGAGAGAACTGGGTTATCTTCTCCAAAGCAAAGAAAACATATTTATAATACTGTCATTGCATTTATAAATGTATTCTCTAACAACAAAAACACACACATAAATGATTTTGTCCAGTTTACAACTAGCTGTACATGTTTAGTGGAATAACAATTTTAATTTTTAACATTTTGCTTTTTGTTATCCTATCATTTTCCCCTAATAAATTAAGAAATGTAATTTGACTACAATTAAAAATGAACAAACAGTAGTTCATCTAATTCATTTGGCTAATTCATCTTTTTGTGCTCTTAGGTCAATTTGCTGTCTTTAGTGCTACAATGTATAACAAAAATTTATGTACTGAAACTTTGTTAAGACCGAATGCTGCATTTCAAAGTAGCTAATTGAAAACTTCTATAGACCAGACTTCAAATATTTTTGCATCAGCCAATCTGTGGAATTTACACAGCTGAGAAAAAGCAGACATAACCTGACATTTTGTTGATTTAACAAAAGAAGGAAAACAGTATTTTCAAAAGCTTAGCCCTTCTACCAAATGACTGAAAAGCAGTTCTTCAAGTGAGAATGAACGGATAGGGAGCCCTCAGTAGGGTAGTATTTTGCCTGAACACAAAGAGAACCGTTTCTGTCTTATTTATGTCTTTCCCCCCAATATAACCACTGTTTCCAACTTACTGGTTGTCCTTCAAAAAACTCAATCCATGTATAAGCACAGACGTTTTTAACATACCACACTCTCCCTTTAATACAAATAGAGGCATAATGTGCACAATGCTTATCATCTTACAGACTGCATTAATATTGTATTAATAAACACATGAAAAAGTGTATATAAAGCATTAGAGATAATTGTAACATAAGCTACAATGCATTCACTACCCAGTTTAATAAATAGAATACTTATACACATACCCCTTGCAAATAAAATGGTAACCTTCCTCTCTTTATCGTTAACACAACAGCTAGATTTTATTGCATTCACTTCATTTTCTTCTTTATCATCTATATATAATAACTAAATTCTATAATTTAGTGTTTTCTGTTTTTGAATTTTATTAAAACTATTCTTTGGTGTAACTTTTTTAGAGAGAAATTACGTATTTTAAAGTATATTGTATATAGGTATAGTTAATTCATTTTCTTTGCTATATAGTATTCCATTGTAAAAACAGAACACAATTTACTACTCATTCCCTTGTTTGATAGATACCTGAATGATTTCTAGTGTCATGTCACAGCCTCAAGGTTTTGTTGGTATTCTTAACCTCAAAATTATAAAAGTTTATATTTTATAGTGTTTTATACCTTTTAATGTTTATTTCTTTAATTGGTAATATAAATATATTTATATAAAAAGGAAGGTAGGGATCAAAGTTTATTTTTTTCTGAATGGCTAGACCTTTCAGCTTCAGAATGAGGGATTAAAGCTAATTAGATTTTTGAATGACATGGTAAAGTAGCAATGACAATTTGGGGATCTTTTAAGATTACTGCATATTGAGAAGTGTGGTAAATTTCATGAGATTTTTTTTCTTTTGAAAAAAGTGGCAATATTTATTTAAGAAGTGAAGATGTCATTTATTTGACAGTAACGTATAATATATAATACTGCCCTAACCTTGCATTTTAAATTTTATACACCTTGGAGATTTTCTTTCTTTCTTTCTTTCTTTCTTTTTTTTTTTTTTTTTTTTTTTTTTTTTTTTTTTTTTTTTTTTTTTTTTTTTTTTTTTTTTTTTTTTTTTGATTTTGTTTCTCCTCTGTCACCTAGGCTGGAGTGCAGTGGAATGATCTCGGCTAACTGCAACCTCCACCTCCCAGGTTCAAGCGATTTTCCTGCCTCAGCCTCCAGAGTAGCTGGGATTATAGACACCCACTGCCAGACCTGGCTAATTTTTGTATTTTAGTAGAGATGGGGTTTCACCATGTTGGCCAGGCTGGTCTTGAACTTCTGAACTCAAGTGATCTGCCTGCCTTGCCCTCCCAAAGTGCTAGGATTACAGGCATGAGGCATCACACCCGATGGGGATCTTTTTACATTTGTACATGTCATAAATGTGATATTTTAATAACTACATATATTTTATATAATTCTATATACATATATAAACATAATACATTACATACATTATATACGTGCATTACTCACACATACATTTTCTCTCTAACACAAATATATTTTTCTTTTCTTTTCTTTTTTTTTTTTTTGAGATGGAGTCTCGCTCTGTCACCCCAGGCTGGAGTGCAGTGGCACAGTCTCAACTCACTGTAATCTCTGCCTCCTGGGTTCAAAAGGTCCTCCTGCCTTAGCCTCCCAACTACATTTGCTTTTGCACACATGTACTGGAGAAAAATATCCAGTAAGGGAATTTCTGGGTAAAATAAATAACATCTTCACTTCTTAAATAAATATTGCCACTTTTTTCAAAAGAAAAAAAGAAGAAATCTCAGGAAATATCCCACACTTCTCAGTATGCAGTAACCTTAAAAGATCCCCAAATTGTCAATGCTAGTTTACCATGTCATCCAAAAGTCTAATTAGCTTTAATCCCTCATTCTGAAGCTGAAAAGTCTAACCATTTGGAAAAAAATTAAGTTTGATCCCTACCTTCCTTTTTATATAAATATATTATCAATTAAAGAATTAAATATAAAAGGTATAAAACGTAAACCTTTATAATTTTGAAGGTGAGAATACCAACAAACCTCGAGGTTATGAATTTCATTTTTTCCCCCATGGCAAGGTTTGATCATTAGAAGCTACAAATTTCAAAACCAAGTATATCTGACCACATAGGGTGGGTGTGGTAGCTTATCCCAGCTATGCCAGAGGCTGAGGTTGGAGAATCACTTGAGGCCAGGAGTTTGAGACCAGCCTGGGCAACACAGCAAGACTTCTTCTCTTAAAAAAAAAGAAAAAAAAAATTAAAACTTCTATGCTGACAAATAAATAAAATAAAACAACATAAAATAAAAAAAAAATCAAATCATGAAAAATATCTGTTATAGATAAGCAACTAATACCGGCAATGTCAAATGTAAGA